TCTGGCGCACGCCATGCACTGGCAAAAGCAAAGCCTTAGAGACTGGGTTTTTTTGTTTAATTAGTTGTAGCCCTTGGTGGGGCTTGAATTAGGACACCCCTTTACGTAGGACGGCGTCATCCATCAGCTTCGCTCGGGTCATTCATATATGACGAGTTGGAGCAAACAGTCGTGCAACGTCCAGATATGCTCTGCTAACGAGAACCATTTTTAAACGCTCGAAAATGTCGCTTCGCGAGAACTCGTGCTGGTCTCGTTGACGGTATATGTGAAGAACAGCCTTCCGGAATGGGAGCTGACGAGATCGTGTCGGGGTTCTCTGATGCTCTCGTAGGATAACGGAAAAACCAAGTCGGAAATCAATTTTCGAACCCTTTGAGCTGATCCAGTATGCCTGTGAAATGTTAGTTAAGGGTTAGGAAACACATAGGGGAAGGTTACGGAACGTCCTCTATAGACCAGGCTTCAAACGGCAGTATAGTGCTCGATGGGGCCCGCGAAATCGGCTTGTTTCGGTGACATATATGTCTAGAATTAATTATCGCACCACAGTTATTTCTCAGGAAACTACAGTGAATCCACCAACATGCACGCGGCGCAGGCGCCCCAAACTTGCCTGCTCATTAGGAAAACGGGGCTGTTTAGTGCGACATACGTGTAGGTAATGTAATGCGACTGCAACGAATAGACGCGGCTTCGTCTTTAGCTGCATGCCCTCTTGTCGCAATGTCGAGGATGGGCGGAGTGAGATTGATTGTTTAGGTGAGGCGAATTAGTGTAATATGGGCTCACGGCCCCTTTCGTTGTCATCCAAATAAATGCGCTACGACGTCTTCGACGTCATGCGCTGCAGCAGCGATATCGATATGAATAAGCACCTCTTTTTCTATCGATAAAGCTGTTTGGGAGGGTAGTTTTGAATGCATAGCTACAATTCTTGGGACATTGACTGATCGTGGCTTATCCTCTAGGACACATTGCAACCGGCGTTTGTTGCTATCTTATAGCACAGTTGAACAGAAGAAAACACTAAATAACCTTAGACTGCGTTGTTTCTTTATATTTGGGAGGCCATCATCACAGTGTTTCAGCACCAGATACGGTCACTATTGTTCAAATAAACAGAAACCCTCATGTCCTTATCTCTTTCCCTTGAGTTTGCCCCTTATGTGAAGATATAGTGACAACGCGGACATTATTGTAGGTTCGCATGTTTCGGACACTGGCGCAGAAAAAAAATGTATGCGAAATTTTCAAACCTTAGTGCGTGCGTTCTTTCGCATCTGAGAGAGTCATTCTTGAAAGCGAGATAAACGGGATGATGCAGTATGCTTCTCCATTGAAAAGCTCTGAAATAACGCCTGCTTGATTGTGTCAAAAGCTGGGATGCCACGAGAAGCCGAGGGTGGAGGGGGGATTTCGATATGCATGGGGTCATGTGTACCCTCCTCAATTGGGGATCACGTGCCATGTTACGCTGCTTCGAATCACGATAACATCGCCCTGTTCGATGTTCTATAAGTTTACCAGTCTATAACCTAACCCAAGTGTTTTCCTTCGACGTCCCTTTAAAAAACAGTGCATGCCGGTGTGGTGCACCGGCTTACCTCAGCCTGCGGAAGTGGTTGCTATTACATGTATATGCGAGACAAGTGTTTGTTGAGACGTTTGTTGGCCTTTTGAACCTTCTTCCTTGCCTGTACAGGGCCGCACGTGACAATGTTTCGGACCTTTCAAGATTTTATCTCGGTGTATCTGTGGACAAAGTGTATATCGATCAACCATCGCCTGTATCACTCTCTGAGCTTTGGTTGTTTTTGCTCTTGTTACGATACTTATGCGATAACCAAGTGTATGAAATGTAGCCTCGGCTTCCTATACATATTACTACAAAAAGAATTATACATACATCTATAAATACTATACATAATATACATAAATCTACACATGAATAAAATATCTTTCCTTCTGTACACCGATGGTGTTGAGTGATATACTCGCGTGTTTATTGGCGTTTAGCACACGACAGCAGCCCTCGTGTGCGCCTGCTTGAATAGCTATACGGGGCGAATAGTGTTCCTGTCAGCCGGCCTTGGTTATCTTTGCAGTGTTTAAGTGGGTTTGCACGCTGTCTTCATGACAACTCGTTTCGCCCTTGCAAACATTGCGCAATGAACAGCTAATGCAGCCACAAGTTGCGAGTCAGAGAGCGCTGCAAACTTGGAACAAATCGTGGTAGATCTAGCCCAAAGAGCCCCGCCGCGGTGGTCTAGTGGCTAAGGTACTCGGCTGCTGACCCGCAGGTCGCGGGATCGTGTGCTCAGACTTGGGTGCATGTTAAAGAACCACCGTTGGTCGAAATTTCCGGAGTCCCCCACTACGGCATCTCTCATAATCATATGGTGGTTTTGGTACGTTAAACCCCGCATATCACTCAATAAATCTAGCTCAAAGAACTCCATGCATTAGGGGGGGGGGGGGGGCTCATTTGGTTTATCTGCTTTTGAAATTGCGAGCGATCAGTGTAAAAGGGAATTTCCTTTGCACTATCTCAAAAGAGAAAGACTTGGCAACTGATAAGATGAATGTTACAGCAAGCAGCTGAGGGTGGTGTCTGTCCTCGGATATCAATGTGGCTGCATGGTGGGGTAGAGTAGACAATCCTACCACGACCGATAAGAGTATCATGAAAGGCTACAGCACACATATAGACGGCAAAGTATACACAAGACGAAGTCCTGATCATCGCTTTGTCTTGTGTATACTTCCTTCATTCCCGTCTATGTGTGCGCTGTAGTCTTTCATGATGCCTCGCCAACTCGCCCACAAGCCATCCTCGTGGAGATAAGAGTATTCGCCATGGTAAGTGCGGGAAAGCATCGTCATCTGATCACTCACTACCTCGAGCTTCTCATCTTCTCATTTGAATTCGAATGCACAAAGGTCTTCTCTTATTATTTTTTTTTTACCCCCACTAACAACATCGATGAAACAGGCGCCATGATGATGTTTATGATTCTGATTTGCCTCACTACCATCACCGAAACACTCTCCAGCCGTGTCTGTCTCAGCTGTCCCTGCGGACAGATGGTTGAAGGGAAGGAGGGCGGAACTATCCGGGCTGTTTGTTGTAAATAAGGTTGCCGGCCTGTGATATTTGGAACTACTAAAAATGCAATCTGTCAATGTGTGTTCAAGCTCTTTTTTTTTTTTTTTGACAAAACTTGAGAGAAGTGGTTCGTGTAGTGACCACACCGATCTCGTATCCGTTACACACGTACTTGAAGCGTCGCTGATTATTGGTTAAGGGAGGCAGTCAAGATGAGAGAAATTGTGATAGTAGATGAATGTTGAAATTGAAGAGAATTGTGAAAGTGGTGACGTGCAGAAACTTAGTCCTTTAGGCACATCGTTTTGTTCCTCATTTTCTTATGCCCAACTAAAGCGATGAAGGCGCTTTCGTTGGGCATATGAAAGCGATAGCGCTTGTCTTAACTGAAGCCACGGCTGAAGCTTCATAGTACTACTCCAAGAACGACATCTTCATCATTTTAGCTCCCCATGGATTCGCACCGCAGTGGCCTTGGCTGCTTGCAATGCCAAAGTAAGTATGATTAAGCACGACTACGTAATAATTTAACATCAGTGAGTCGTAAAATAGGCGTGGTATATAGTTGAGGAGAAAATCTTACGGCGGGTAAAACTTCCTACTATCAGCCTTTTGTAGGTACAGTAGCCGAGAAAAGCTCACTTAACCCTCAATAACTTTCCTTTCGAACGACGCGTTAAGATCCTTTTCATCGACCATTGCAGCAAATGGCCCGTCAGCGAAAGGGCAGACGAAACGTCAACGATGTACTGAATGCCCGAGCATTGCTTGTACACACAAGGTCAACAGCACAAAAGAAGCCTCGATGAATCCTTAAACGACTACTGAATTCTGGCATCCCCGTATGCGAGTTCCACATGAGCTCCAATTCAACTAGGAGGCGCGGTAAAGGGAGTGGAGGGCTAACCTATCGCCTAACTTGTCCTGGGTAGACGACGACTGGCCTTTCGTTTCAAATATGTGGTACGCTGCTGAAATGAAGCATGCGTAAATCATCTCAGATTTTGATCGCATTAATGGCTCACCTAGTTTGCATACGTACGTCACCGAGCACACACTGAGGATCGCATTGACAAGAATAAATGTTCCGTTTCAAAGCACTCGGTGCACATCGTTGCATAGACCGTAGATCCCCTCTATATTATTATATTTAATTAGCAGTGCTTGCGTTTACGTCTCGTACGTTGTGTGTGAACCAAAAGCGTGGTTCCGGAAAAATCTAATGCGAGCGTCGATGTTGCAAATTCGACGTAGTGCTCGCAGTAAAAAGCCTCTTCATACAACAGGAGTGCCTAATGAAGTAGTGGCCAGTGAAGGAGTGGCTAGTGAAGTAATACTGTTGATTGAACATATCTTCACAAAGACTCATAGCTAAGCCAGATTAATAAGTTTTTTGGTGTGATCGTAATTATATTTGTGTGAGTCCTTGTAATTCGCGCCCCTGCCAAGCTGTATATCTTGTTATGGCAGAATGTGAAGCGATTATGCGACATCGAACCACAACGATTTCAACAAAGGGCAACTGCTTCGAACAAACAGGTTTGATTTTCGACGGTGTTCTCTACCCGCTTACAGCTGATGCAAGACATGTAATGTGATTGTAGATAATTCCGTTCATTTAATCTGTAGAATACTATAACACTCTCGCTGCAAACAAATGCGAGTTATTGAAAGGGGAAAGCACAAAAGTGCAATTCAAGTTGGCGCGCACGCCACCAACAACGTTGAAAAAGAAACTGAAACTGCAGGACCCATCCTATCCGCAACAGCTTGAGCGACTTCGACATCACTTCTATTTTCTTTTGTCTTGTATTTTCCGCTTTTGTCTGTGCTTTCAGTTCTTTCTTCTTGTAGAGTCAGCTGGCCGCCCTGCGGTGGCCATGTGACCACAAGGCGTGACGCATTGTGAATGCAATGGGCGCCTCCGCTGGACCGGCGGGGTATCGTCAGCTACTGTCTAGAGCGTGCTCTGTCGTCGCTCTGCTGCTTGCGTTATTGATATGACCTTGCGGCCAGACAACGGCTTCGCCGGGGGGTACTTGTCGGGTAGGGAAGCGTGACGAGCGCTTGGCTCAACACTTTACAGCGTTGGCCGACGCGACGAGCGCTGCAGCAACAGGTGAGTGGCAAAGCATCAGCCTCAGTGCGCTTCGCCCCATGCCTCGCACAGTCGGCGTGCACTATGCGGCGGTGGTGCTTCGTCTTTTGCGCCGCTGCTGAAACAAGTTTACCCCTTGATAGAAACGCCTGTAGTAGTTATCGATTGTTAAAGCACCGTACTCCCCGATTTGGGAACTTTGGATGTGCGGATCGTTCGCTTTGACGTTCGAAACCAGCGGGAAAAGCGTGCGATCTTTGCTTTCCCGGCATTTTAAAACGATCCGAGTAACCGGCGGCCAGGCTTGCCGCTTCTGAAATGTGCTACAGCAGGTTCCGTGGCAAGTGCGCAGAGCGCGCAGCTATTCCTGAGCACGACCTGTATACCGGTTTTACTTTCTCCTTTCAGGTTTCTTTAAAATGTCTAAAACGCTGGAGCGAAAACACACTGGGCAGACCTGCAGAAACGGCGATGTGAACAAGACGAGATCTAGTAAGTCGGCTTTGTGTTTGTCGGTCCCTGTATCTGATATGCTTTACAGTTTGCTGTTAAAAAGCTCCATGAACTACCTAATCATTTGTCATGATTTTTTCTTATTTCTTGCGCGCGTTTATTGTCTGATTTAGCGTCCTAAACGGTGCACTTGATGATTTGGATTTTCGTGCGGATGTTTTGTTTCCGGTCGCGTTTTAGTTTGTGCTATCATGAGGCATGAAGTGGTAGTGTGCGAGACTTTAGCATGCAATCGTAAATTATGAACGAAGTTTGGTGCACCTTTGGCAATTTATAAATATCACATTACTTTCTCAGGGCTGCCAGAAGCTGCGGATATTGTGGAAGTGTTGAAGAAACGATTAGCCTTCCTGTCGGGTATGTTTACATAAACATTTTTGTTTGGTTTGTTTTTTATTGCAGTAAGTATTGTGTGCTTATTAAAAGAGAGCGCGCATGCGTGTTGTCTTTTTGATAAGCATTTGTTGGGATTTGATCACATTAGCTACCATGGAACATCTCTACTAAAGCTGGTTGCCTAGTCAGCTGTATGTGTTTAAATCATTTGTGTGATGCCAAATGTAAGAAGTTTTCAACTCTTCACTGACTTGTGTGTCACAAATAAGGTTACTAAAATCAAAATTCAGCGTTATATATTATACTAGGCCACCTTCTAGTAATAACCACGTGTCGTACTGCAAAAGACGTAGAGAGCTTTAGAACAGTGCAAAGCAAAGCTTTGAGTTTGCATTGCGCATGTGTCGTACGCCCACTTTTTGCGGGTTTCCGTTAAGTGACGAACCCAAACGCAACGCCCGCAAGCTTTGCGTACGGTATTCTAAAACTCTATTAACTTCACCTTATGTAATCTCTTGTCTCTTCAAATGATGCTAAAGGAAGTCGCTCGTTATTACCTGCACACTTGAACAGGATCTTAAAAGGTGTCATTCTTATGTGAATATAATTGGCATACGGGGCCATGTTTTGCTGGCATCACGACAGCCTTTGACTCCAGCTGGATTCGTCTGTATGTGTAGTCGAGCAAAACATGTTTGCAGTGCAGTTGATAGCATATACCACAGCAGGGGCTTCTCTGAAGAACACTTCATCTCGGGCTACCTGAGTGATAAGGACAGCTGAGGGCATGGCTAGCTGGTGCATTGCCATCGTGAGCAAAAGGTGTTTGCGAAGGTTTGCAAAGCCAAGAGTTTGCAAAATATAGCTCAGCTCCCCAGTTTCTTGATTGACTCGGTTGGAATTTCGTAAAAGCGAAATGACGGTCATCCCAGCAGCTGCCTTGCAGTGCTTAAGTTTATAAAAGCCGCATGTTCTTGAACTTTCGTAGTAACATCCTTGCATTTAATGAGCTGTTTTAGAGCCTGAAAAATTAGGCAAACAATCATTGGTACTAGATGAAAGAAGTTGAAAATTATTGTTATGGCTTCAACAGTTCTTTCGTTTTTGATGTCAATGCCATCAAGGATGCATGTAATATGGACATATATTTGGATAATAGGTTAAAGTGAATGAAACATAAGAATTGTAGTCCATGCTGTTTGTACTGTTTATTGAAGACATGTCATTATTTACTAATAATAAGACTGCTTGTCAGTGGCATTTGCTGAGCTGACAAGCATACATCTGCCAAAAAGGTTTTTGCTATCAAAGTTTTATATACTGCTGATAACGCACTAGATCTGCTTACCTGTAACATGTTTTGTTAGGTAGCACGCTTATGTTCATAGAGGTGTTTCTCGATTTTCATTAAATGACACTGAGTATGCTTCCCAACGCTTTCTGCGCAGGAGGGGTTGATAAAAATGGCTGTACGTTACTATGTGTACCTGCACCATGTGACGACTTCATGTTGCAAGACTTCAGGGAAACACTAGTCTATCTTAGGGGAGTTATGGAGTAAGTCCTGTGCTTCTGTTTCTTTTTCTCTCATTCTTCTGATGATAAACATTTGTACTGGATGGTTATAAACTGCTGGGGAATGATTTTATGCGATAGAAATTTGGTTATTAATCGTAGCTTTTACTGATCATTTCAAAGCATTCGCCTTCATACATGTTTGCAAACTTATCTTTATCGACGTTCAAAGAGGCAGCCTTTCTTTTTTTTCTCTCTCTTCCCACAGGTAATGTCACTGTTTTATACTTCCTTGCTTTCTTCTGTTTATCAGTGAAGGTGATGATGAGAAGGTTACTGTGGTGGTGCAAGGAGACAGTGCTTGGGGCAAGAAGCTTGAAGTTGTCAAGGCAGCACTGCAGGTAATTGTTTCCTGCCATGGTTGCTTCTGTTGATTGATCGTTTGGGTGACAGGGGTTCTTGTGAAAGTGTAGGTATTTACTTTGTGATGGAGCGACTTATTAGCAGACTTTAAATGTTATGAACAGGGGGCATGCGGCTGTGCATTCTATAATCTTTTTGTCTGAAAGTTTAGACAAAATTTGACTTGCATTAATCAATTACATCAATTCTAATAGCTAATTATGTGTCCTCAAAGGGCACGTAATTCAAAGGGCACATTACGTGCCCTTGGAGGACATCATAATCAGTGTTGAGGCCCTCTGAATAAGAGTTTGTAATAAATTTCAAAAGTTTAGCATTATTCAGAAAATTTCCAGTATTGACAACATCAAGAGTCGATAAGCTGTGTCGTGTCAACTATCGTTTACACTCAAAAATTCATCATAATATTTTATTTTAAAGGCACACTAAAGCCAAATAACAATTTACGTCAGAGTGAAAGCTCAATATGACAACATCTACAACGACAATATTATCAAGAACAGTACCCTACTTACTGAAAAATTCAGGTAAATGCACAAGAACACATGCGCCGCAGTAGCAAATTCTCAAAACGATCCTGATGACATCAGACGGTCAGACTACAATCAATCACACGTAATCGATCTAGCTCCAGTTAATGAAAGAACCTTCCTTGCATTAAGAGACACAATAAAATGGTGCCTGTTCGTTTCTGTTTGATTCGTGAAAAGAAGAACCGTCGGTCATTACTATGGGGAATGGCGCGAGTGGTTCGAAAATTCAATTTTCGCGTGGTTACACTAGACAGGTCATGCCATCTGGTTGGGCACAATTGAACCAAAACGCGTCTGCCATCTCAGAGCCAACGGCAGGAAATTGATCAATGGCCGTTGTTGCTGCTGTGACTCCCGCTGCTTTCGTTCTGTCTACTAGTGTCGGCGACCGCGCAGTAAAGCCTGGCAATGTTGTGCATGGCTACAGTGACGTGAGATAGTCCATTCCTTGAGGCGGGGTAATTTGAAGTTGGCTAACCCAATGTGGACCACTAAAACATAATTTTTATTTTGAAATAAGCCCTTCCTTGGCTCAAAGGTAACATATTAAGGTTTCTGGACCGTTATTTCAACAATCAACGTCGACCTAATAGTTGCCTTTACTGTTCCTTTAACAATAATCGTGGCCAGTCGTCATATTGTCTTGGACGTTGCATGTGCATCGCCAGCCATACGCTAAGCCCAGGTGTGGCCTGTCTCCAAACTGTTTTGTATTGGTATCTGCCTTGCTTTAGACTATGCTCTTCAGTAATAGTCACACTGCTTGCATTTATCTGCATTATCCAATCAGAGGACTGGTGAACGACTGAGGACATTAGCGGTGAGCGAAAAATCGGCATTGTCCGTGAGTGAGAAAACACAATAGATGCAAAACATTAAAAATGAGGGTTTCATGCTGGAATCAAACTCAACGTTCTGTGGGGCAGTCAGGTGTAGCATAGAGTCACGCCACTGCACCAAACTGCTTCAGAAAAAGCCCTGAATAGGCTTCATGTAGTGCGACGAGCTATGCATAACACATGTAATGGGATGTCATAGAATCGAACCAGGCATCACTCTGTGAATCGCACGAGCGGGCAATTTGAAATTTCATTCTTTACAAAGCACTTAGCCAATATTATCATTCACAGCATTATCACTTACACATTAACATCGTCATCCGCAACATCATGAAAGGGTGCAGTGGCATAGCTTCAAATATGGCCTTATGGACCTCTAGTGGTTGTTTTGCAAGATGATGAATTATGACATAGTGGGCACTTTAGAACTGTTCTCGCTGTGGTCATTGAAGGAGAGTTTTAAAAACAACCGAGACTATACACACAGACATTCTTTTCCTTGTGACACGGTTGAGGTGTCCACCAAAGAATAAAGCGTGGTAAGGAAATGAGAAGGTTATGCGGATGGAGCTTATTTACATTATCGTGTTCCACTCTTGAAAGCGTAGCTTAAAGGGACATTAAAGCCAAATAACAATTTCCATCAGAGTGAAAGCTCAATGTATGACAACATCTTAAACGACAATATTATCATCAAGAGTGCCCTACTTATCGAGGAATTGAGGTAAATGCACAAGAACGCATACGTAGCAGTAGCATATTGTCAAAACGATCCTGATGACATCAGACGGACTGCCTACAATTAATCACTCATAATCGATCTAGCGGCACTTAATGAAGAACCTTCCGTGCATCATGAGACACAATAAAATGCTGCCTGTTCATTTCTGTTTGATTCCTGAAACGAAGAACTGACGGATGTTACTATGGGGAATGGCGGGAATAATTCAAAACTTCAATTTTCTCATAGTTACACTGGACACGTTGGGCCATCTAGTGGGGCGCAATGGAATTAGAAAGCATCTGCATCATTGGAGCTAATCGTGAAAAATCAATCAATGGCCGTTATTGCTGCTGTGGCTCCCGCTGCTTTCGGTCTGCTGCTCTTAGCGCAGTAAAGCCAGGCAACGTTGTGCACGGCAACAGTACCGTGAGATAATCCGGTCGGTCCGCTTCTTGAGGCGGGTAATTTGAAGTGCACTAACCCAATCCGGACCACTAAAACGTGATTTTATTTAAAAATAGGCCCTTCCTTGGCAGAAAAGTAACACTACAGTATTTCTGGACTGCTATTCCAACAATCAACATTGACTTAATAGTTCCCTTTGGTGTCCTTTTAAGCGTCCTCCTAGTAACGCCACATTCATCGCTTTGACGAGGCAGCCAATAGTTAAGATGGCCCACAACAGTGGTCTAGTGGTTGTGGTGCTCAAGTACTGACCTGGTCGCGGGATCAAATTCCGGCCACGCCAGCCTCATTTCAATGGAGATGAAATGCTAGAGGCCCATGTGCTTAGATTTAAATGCATGTTAAAGAACACTAGGTGGTCAAAATCTTTGGAGCCCTTCACTAGGACATCCCTCATAATCACATTGTTGTTTTGGGATATAAAACCTCAACAATTATCATTAAAGATTAAAGTATGCATGCACAGAAAACTTTTCACTAAATTTGAAATAACAGGCTAGTTAAGTTAATTGTTGTACTAATGGACGTCGACTACGTGGGACAGGAACAGTACCGGCTTAGTTAGCCAGGCGGAATGGCGTGTGTAAGTTCTTTGAGGTTTATTCTGGCCGCATAGCTTCGGGAATGCTCGCTTAACGGCTTTGCCTGCTGTAAACTGCTTACTTCTTTGAGATAACCGTGCTTGCTTTAAGAATAGTATATCTCTATACATTCTTTACGTAAGTATAAAGACTCGCTCAATGTTTTGTTCTTGCTTACTTTTCCTTCTCTTTTTCTTTTTTCTGCAGGAAGTGCTGGGTCCAAGGTTAAATGCCATCCTAGTCCACCATCCTCATAAATCCTGGGAGGTCCGGTCATCTTTTAGGGAAAAGCATACTTCGTTGGTAAGAAGCCTGCTACGTTTTTTTAGGGTGGGACGAAGGGGCATGCATATGCACAGAGCATGTCCTGCACTTTTTTTATTATTCATTGTGAAGTATCTTCTAGGTCTTCAATGCAGTTCCCACAAATTTTGGTGCGGAATATGACACGCCTAATGTGCATAGCACTTAAATACGACCTAAGGTAACCTTAATGTGGCCCTGCAACACTTCTTCAGCGAGGTCAAAAAACGCTGCTGATCGGTGGTGGATGCTCCTGAGAATGTGTGAGCCAAGCATTGTAGTGCAGCACGCGGCCCAGAATTCACAATTAGTTTCCCTATTCAGCTAAAAATCGCTCTTTCTTCTTTTTACAAATTATGCCATACTATACCCAGAATTGAGTCCATTGTCTTATTCGAGCATCGTGAGCCTCATAGTTGCCGCATCTGCTGCAGAAGGCTGTCAAGTGCCCACAAATGTGCTTGCGGTCACACAGAAAGTAAGCTGTGCATTTGAAAAATAAATAAACAAATGGGGCTCAAGGTCATGATGCGCACTTGACGTAACTTTTTTTTCCTCCATGCCATCCCTCCCTGTCTAGCTGCCAGCGCTCTTGATGGCAGGAGGGAAAAGAAAAACCAATTACTGCGTGTGAAGAATGTCCATAACTATGCTCGTACTTTATGGACTCTTAACATTTTTATGGGTGTCAGTCTGAAAACAACTAACTTCCTAAATCAAGCCATTTGACAATTGCTTGGAAATGTGTAGGCAAGCCCTTTTTCAAGTGGTGCTTTTGATCTTGTGACATTTTGTTGCGATGGTGGCACCTATTTGAGAACTTGATGTCAGGCTAGGGGGTAGAGCCTTTAAAAAATACAGTGCAAACACACGGCACATTCACACACACACCCACATTCTGGCATGAACACATACAGTGCTCGCTTCTGACTATTCATTCATTGTGCAAATGCTTGAATATATGCATCATGTGGCACATGCACGCAATAAAAAGACCCTGAAACGATTTTTTTTTAAGTGTTTAAGCTCGAGCATTACCAAATAATTCGTGCCACAAATTATGTACCAAGGCCACTACAGGCAGTTATATCTATACCCTTCTTCTCATCACTGCTTTGCTTTCTCTACTCGTGCGTCATGCTGGTTATCTCGGCGCTCTAAACAATGCACTGGACGGTTTGAGCTTCCCCAAGTCATAGTCTCAAAGATTGCAGCCCTACCGGTCGTGCATCATCACAAAGGCCATGGCCCACTGTGCCCACACCGTCTGGCTACGGAGACGAAGCTCGTGGAGTGGTTCATATTTGCAATATATCAGCTCATCCTTTTTATTGTCCTGTATGGCGAGAACCTTCGAAGCGGACCAACAAAGAAAATGACCCACGATAATCGTAAATTCGGGCAGTGTGGTTGTGTCTTCTGTGGTGAAGATACGGCTGCAGAAACGTGGATCGTGGCGTTGACCAGATATTGAGAGAACGATGCTCGCTGCAGCAACGAGCCTGAACGATTCCATTTGCCAAATGCCTCACTGGCATTACTCAATATCGCAGCTTTACAAGTCACCAATGGCTATATATGTGGTACACAGCACAGCTAGGGCAATCCATTTCATCCTAGAAAAGAACTCGCGAGATAAACATTGTCTCTCAGCTCTTGTCAACACGGAGCACATTTTAACACACGCAGACCACGATCGCTGCCCACAGGAGGTTTCGTGACGTAGAATGGAGATATCCAATCTGATCACTCGCTCGCGCTGAGTGTACTGGAACAATTCGACGTGCAAAAGGCACACGAGAAGTTGAAAACTCGCTCTGCTGAGCCGCAGCAATCTGTAGCAATTCTCATCTTTAAAGCCTTGTAATGAATAACACAGTTGACGCAGAGAGCTTAAATTGATCTTCAAATGATCCTGAGGACTTGCTTTACTGGCTCAATCTATTTATCTTTTTTTAAATCGTCAAAACTGATGCGAGGTCTCTTTAAAACTAGTGAAGCCAAATGCACACATTATTCAGAACATACTTCTTTTTTTTTTTTTGATTCCCTTTTCCTTACTTTTCTGTCTCCTCTTAGAACTCGTGGCTAGAAGGGCCGATCGGGTCCATTTCCGTTTTTTAGGCTCCCCCCCATGATCTCGATCACTCACTTGCAAACTGGCTAAAGCACGCGCTGGGTGCCGCTTCACCAGTAAGCCCCTCGCCCCGTAAACGTGCCAAGATTATCGAACAACACACAAACACGCCGCAACGCGCATTGGCCACTTCGGCTTGGCTTGGATTGAATTGGATCTCCTTGCAACAGTACGCTTGATGCTTAAGAGATGGCGCCAGATGGTGTGCACTATCATCATCAATGGCTGGAACGAGGAGACGACATTATTGCGGCAGTTTTCGGGGGTGCGATAATTACTCGAGGAAAAAAAAATCGTATTTTTTCTTGGGCAATGTGGGGGGTGCGAGAATTATGCGAGTGCGAGGATTTCACGAGTAACTACCTTGCAGATCAATTGAACTTTAGGGCTAGTAGTGCGACTTTCAAGAAACAAATAAAGAACTTATTCATAACCACCGGTCTACACTATCGAAATTACGTAATGGAGTCTCATGCCTCTGCAAATGCTTAAATTGTTCATAAATTTCTATGTCATTATACAAGTGTATACAGTGCAATTCACTGTATCTGCATGCATTTTGTGTCTGTTTTTGAGTTGTTTTATTGATATCGTTTAGTTGTGTATTTTTACGAGAGTGACCTCTAATTCTTGAAATGTATTATGTAAACTTCTTATGCTATTTATGTTTGAATTTTGTGTGTACAATTGCAGGTTGCTTGAAATCAATGTATTAAATATATATATTGTTTGCCAGTGTTGATGTTTAAGCTTTGCACTGTCACGGACTGCGGAGGGACAAGGGCCTTTGTCAGGCTGTTCGCCTTTAGCCCTTTGCCCCTGCAGTGAGCTCTGTATCCGGCTTACTGTAAATAAAGTACTACTACTACTACTACTACGGTAATGTGTGTAAAGAATCTCCATAACAATGCTCGTACTTGGCGGAGCCTGAAAATTTTTAGGGGTGTCAGTCGGAAAACAACTAACTTACTAAATCAAGCCATTTGACAATTGCTTGGAAATGTGTAGGCAAGCCCTTTTTTAAGTAGTGCTTTCGATCTTGTGACATTTTGTTGCGAAGCTGGCGTCCATTTGAGAACTTGATGTCAGGCTATGGGGTCGAACCTTTAAAGAATACAGTGCAAACACATGGCACATTCACACACACACACCCACATTCTGGCATCAACACATACAGTGCTCGCTTCCGACTATTTATTCATTGGGCAAATGCTTGAATATATGCATCATGTGGCACATGCATGCAATAAAAGGACCCTGAAACGATTTTTTTTGTAAGTGTTTTAAACTCGGGCATCATAAAATTATTCATGCCACAAATTAAGTACCAAGGCCTCTACAGGCAGTTATATTTATACCTTCCTTCTCATCACTGCTTTGCTTTCTCTACTCGTGCGACATGCTGGTTATCTCGGTGCTCTAAATAACGCACTGGATGGTTTTAGCTTCACCAATTCATAGTCTCAAAGATTGCGGCCCTACCCGTCGTGCATCATCACAAAGGCCATGGCCCACTGTGCCCACACCGTCTGGCAACCAAGACGAAGCTCATGGAGTGGTTCATATTTGCAATATACGAGCTCATCCTTTTTATTGTCCTGTATGGGGAGAACCTTCGAGAACATGCGGACCAACAAAGAAATCGACCCACGATAATCGTAAGTTTGGGCAGTGTGGTTGTGTCTTCTGTGGTGAAGATACGGCTGCAGAAACGTGGATCGTGGCGTTGACCAGATATCGAGAGAACGATGCTCGGTGCAGCAACGAGCCTGTACGATTTCATTCGCCAAATGCCTCACTGGCGTTACTCAATATCGCAGCTTTACAAGTCATCAATTGTTATATATGTGGCACACAGCAAAGCTCGGGTAATCCATTGCATCCTAGAAAAGAACCCGCGAGATAAACACTGTCACTCAGCTCTTGTCAACACGGAGCACATTTTAACACACGCAGACGACGCTCACTGCCCACAGGAAGTTCGGTGACATAGAATGGAGATATCCAATCAGATCAGTCACTGGCGCCGAGTTTCGACATGCAATTCGACATGGAAAAGGCACAAGAGAAGTTGAAAACTCGCTCTGCTGAGCGCAGTGATCTGTAGCGATTCTCATGTTTAAAGCCTTGTAATAAATAACACAGTTGACGCAGAGAGCTTAAATTGATCTTCAAATCATCCTGAGGACTTGCTTTACTGGCTCAATCTATTTTTTTCAAAAATCGTCAAAACTGATTTGAGGTCCCTTTAAAACTAGTGAAGCCAAATGCACATATTATTAAGAATGTACCTCTTTTTTTTCTCACAGCCTAGAAATGATCAATTTAGTTTCACCAGGAAACAAAAGTAGTAAATGTGATTTTATGCAGCGATTTTCACTCTTTTCAATGAAAAAAGCCTCTCAAACATCACACACATACACATGTGCTTCCGCCAAAAATTGTCTGAGAAAATCGTGGGTCGTATTCATGCAATATTAGCTTGCACAACCAAGTGTGCACATTTTTTTATCTCTCTTAGTTAATTTTTGGGAGCCCTGCTTCAGTGGTCTATTGGCTAAGGTGCTCGCCTGCTGACCCGCAGGTGGCGAGATGAAATCTCGGCTGCGGCGGTGGCTGCATTTTCAATGGAAGCGAAAAATGCTGCAGGCCCGTGTGCTCAGACTTGGGTGCACATTAGAGTGGTCATAATTTCCGGAACCCTCCACTACGGTGTTTCTCATAATAATACGGTGGTTTTGGGACGTTAAACTTCACGAATCAATTAATCAGTTAATTTTTGGGCATCTTTCTTTATCGGGTCAATAGCACTTCTCTTGCTTTGACCAATGTATACCTTGCAGCAGAATAAGGGTATCAAGTACATGACGCTCAAGGAACATTTTACAAAAGTCCTCTCAAGCTTCCTTATGCAGCTGCGCATTTTGCTATTGTGAAAATCGTTGGTATTGGGCTTGTGTGAATAAGTAAATTCTTGGTTCGAAGCAAATAGTGATTTGGTTCAAATTATTTCAAATTGAATTCGAATAGTATATCTGCTGTACTATAAAGAAAAATGAGCACATTTGTCATATGTCAACTAACCTGCAAAATATATATTTTTTAAATTAATACAAGGCATGTGCAAATGTCATTCTTATTTGTTTAAAGGAAGTGGAAGCAACTTTGAGTAGTAGCGTGATTTGACTTTAGGTAGAATGCAAGTGATAACTGGTAACTAAAAGAGAAACTTGGGCTTGTTGGTGTTGCGAGTTAAGTGCCTGTGTTTTGTCTTTACTTGTCCTCGTCTATTTTAAGTGCTGTTTTAATGGTACATCTAAAATATTTTAGATCTTCAAGTTTGCTATCCTTACAGCATATAAACTGGCATAACAAGCTTTCAAACTTGAAAAAGGAAGAGTCGATCTGAGGGTAATATGTTCATTTAACTTTAAAGGGGGGTTTCACGGCAGTGCGGATTTTTTGGGGGGAGGTGCAATCATGGCATATCACCCATTCGCCACACTGAAGCAGCCTTTACAAGGGGTTACATGCGGAATAATATACACCTATTCCTTCATTTCCAATAACTTAAATTTGAATTTAAGCAAATTTGAATGCAGTATATATATTCATTTGATTATTTAAGTGCTCAAATATTAGCACAAGTCCTGTTGACACACCTTCCCGATTCTCTCAGGTGCCAAAAACAGCAGCGATACTCCGTGCCTGCCAGTGACTTTCTTGATATTATGGAAAAGCTCGTGGATTTATGGCACAACTTGTGAATGTGCCATGTGTTGGTGCTCTAGTTATTTTTCTAAATGGTATCTGTGTCTCCAGACAACAATTTTTCAGCCACTCTACCAAGTATCCTGCTTGAGCAAGTTTTATTACATTCCATTTTGAGGAATGCTGTCGTTTGTGAGCATTAATGCGCTGGGACAGTGTTACAAACGATTTTGTTAAAGGGAAAGTATGTGTCCCCAAAAGTCTGCACTCGTGGATATCATCCCGAGATGTTTCTGCACATTGCATTGTAGGAATCCATTATATGGTGGCCTATTTCTGAAAGCTTGCATTTTTTTTTATCCCTTTTCATGTTTTTTTGCATTTTTATGGGCCAGTATCATTGTAGAATTGCTCTGCAGTCACTGTGGCTCAAGTTTTATCCTTGTCTCAATTGTCTCAATACAGCTGAAGAATGTGACGCAGCCTAAGCTCTTCAAACTAGTCAGCCCCCTGCAGTTGACGCCTGAATTCGGTGGTACCTTGCAGTATGATCATCTTGACTGGTTAAGCAGGCAGTTGGTGAGTGATAATCGTTTTATGTTTGCTCACCATCTTTACTTACTTGTAAGTTACGTCACGTTAATTTTGTCAGATTCTTTCATAATACTTTTCGTCAAGTTAATCTTGTCATGAACTTTGCTATTTTCGTCTTGTCATAATTTATCGTCGTAGTTTTCATCTTAACTAAAGTAGCTGCTTGGGCGTGTTGTTACAACATATTTCAAGGAAACAGCGCGAAAAACGAGAAACCAGGCAAAGGACACATACAGAGTGCTTCACAGCTTACTCATCAATTACTGAAGGTCCTGCAGAGAGTTAGGACTGAGGGACACATGCTTGAGTAAGCCTTCGGTTTCCCTTTCAGAAAAGGAAGTTGTCTTTTAAATGCGAAACATTTCTTAGCGAACTTCGGCGACTTTGAGCGTATCTATCTATTTAGCCGCCTACGACTTTTAGCTCTCCTGGCCGTTTTGTTAATGGTATCGGTACCAAACATGGTATGGCTTAACATGACTGTATGAAGAACATGTTTGACTAGTCATAACATGAAAATCATATGTATGTCATGAATGCCATGATTTACATTTCATATTCCTGCAGATCTTGCGGTGGTTACGTTCACATGACATGTTGCAAAACTGGTATGGTATGACATGAATGCATGGCGAACACAAGCGAAAGACGCTAACATGAAACTCATGATATGCGTGTCATGTAACTGTTGTGTTCCAAGCACCCCTGTGTCACGAGCGAGCCCCACGAAGGACCGGTTGCTGAAACTGCTTCCAGATGTTGACTCCTCCCCTTCCCCCGCTCGGCGCAAGCGAGCCACCGTTCGTTTTCCCCGGCAGTTCGGCCGCCGCCTCCATCCGAATAGGAATAAACTTGTTTTTAACCGTTCGAGGCTGCCTGAGCTTTTTGGACTACCGCGACCAACGCGTACGTCTATGGGCCGACGACAACACCGGACATAACAGTGGCGACGAGGAAGTGGATTTGGACCAACGCTACGTAACGATATTGACAAGCTACAAGCTATAGCTACGCGCGGGCTCCCAAATCGGCTACCCGAATTCAACGGCTCATCATGGTCATCGTGGTTTGGACGCCTGCAATTTTACTTCGAGGCTAACAACATCACTGATGCAGCAATGAAGAGGGCCAACCTGCTAACGCTGTGTGGGGAGCAGACATATGACACAGTCTGTGCCCTGATTCAGCCACACACTTCAGCAGCCGTTGACTACGACGACATCGTAGCAGCGCTACAAGAGCACTATGACCCAAGGCCATCGGAGGTCTACTGTCGAGCCCGCTTCCAACGGCGAGACCAACTGGAAGGCGAAAAAGTGGCCGAATACGTAGCGGCTCTCAAAAAGCTCGCTGCTGACTGCAATTTCGGGACGTTGACCGCGACAGCTGCAGCTACTGCGCAGGAGGGAGGATCGACTGCCACACCTGCTAACACCACTATGCTCCCCTTGGACGTTATGTTGCGTGACCGTTTTGTGTGCGAACTGCGTGACGCAGGCCTACAACAACGCCTGTTCGCAGAGACGGGTCTCACCTTCTTCAAAGCCTATGACATCGCCCAACGAGCGGAGAGCGCCGGTCACCAGCAGAGGGATATTTGACGGAACGTCGAGCCGGTGCATCACACCAGTCAGCAGTCAGGTCATTCCACGTCTAAGGCGAAATCAAGCAGAAAGACACAGCGCTGTTGGCGATGCGACGACATGCACGATCCCCAGGTATGTCAATACAAGACAGCGACCTGCAATTTTTGCCAAAAATTGGGACACATTAAAAGGGCATGCATCTCGAAGCGCAAACAGCTCGGACCGAAGACTTCAGTGCAACGGAACAACAATGTCGACGCACAGCAGGGCCAGACGCAAGATACAAGCCGAACAGCACTAACGTCATCGGCACTACATGACTTAAACGCCGTTGTAAACCTCGGAACGAGACCGAAGATTACAACTGAAATTATGGTACACCAGCGCCCTATCAGGTTTGAGGTGGATTCCGGAGCAGCATGTACACTCATCAGCGAGGGCACTTTTCGCGCTACTTGGCGTGAGAACGCGCCAGCTCTCCAGCAAGACAACACGCAGCTGAGAACGTGGTCCGGACATTCCCTTCCACTGCTGGGCTGTGCCAACGTAGACGTGTACTACAACGGGCAGACCCATCAGCTCCCCTTGCTAGTCGTCCACGGTTCTGGATCAAGCCTTTTAAGACGAAATTGGTTCACCCCTTTTGGAGTGGTCATTGGCGAAGTTCACTACACAACCAGTTATTCGTCAGTGGAGCAGCTTCAAGATAAGTACAAAGCGGTTTTCTCTGAAGAAATACCAGGGAACAACGGACCTCCAGTCACACTGGAGCTGCGGGAGGATGCGACGCCGAAATTTTTGAAAGCTAGGTCGGTGCCTTTCGCCCTACGAACGTCAGTCGAGAATGAGCTTGACCGACTGCAGGAACAAGGGATCATCGAACCGACGCAACATTCGGAATGGGCTACACCACTCGTTGTCGTCCGAAAGAAGAACGGTACCCTACGCCTCTGCGGAGACTATCGGAGCACTGTCAACCTGGCGACAAAAGCATCTTCCTACCCACTGCCGACACCGGAAGAGGGTTTTAGCACGCTTCGTGGTGGAAAAATCTTCAGCACCTTGGACTTGACACAATCCTACCAGCAGCTGAAGGTGAGCGAATCAACGTCTGAACTGCTCACGATAAACACTATTAAGGGTCTTTACAAAGTTAAAAGGCTACCATTCGGAATATCTGCAGCGCCAGCAATCTTCCAGAAATTTATGGAATCTACACTTAGCGGGATCCCAGGTGTTTGCATCTACTTGGACGATGTTATTGTTGGTGGCGCCTCCAATGAAGAGCACACAGAACGTTTGGAGCTCATTTTGGAAAGGCTAGCAAATGCTAATTTGCGCATCAGTAAAGAAAAATGTGTTTTTGCGGTGCCTGAAGTGAAGTTTCTTGGACATCAAATTGACGCGCAGGGTATCCATCCCACTGAAGACAAAGTGCGTGCAATCACCGAAGCACGAGCGCCTACTAACAAGCAAGAACTGCAGTCGTTTTTGGGGCTATTGACGTTCTACGACCGGTTCTTGGAACATCGAGCTACAGTGCCCAACGATCTATATCAGCTCCTGCAGAAAGAAGTCCCATGGACTTGGTCGCCACGCCACCAAGAGTCATTTGTTGCCCTTAAGCAACTACTTCGCAAGTCTACTGTTCTGCGACACTACGACGAAAGGAGACCCCTACTGCTAGCCTGTGACACATCACCATACGGAGTGGGAGCAGTCCTCTCCCAAGTTGACGACCAGGGACGGGAAGCCCCGATCGCTTTTGCTTCGCGCACCCTATCGCAGGCAGAGAGGAATTATTCCCAGCTAGATAAAGAGGGACTTGCCATAGTCTACGCAGCAGATCACTTTCGGCAGTGCATTACCGGCAGGAAAGTGACTTTCATAACAGATCACCGGCCCTTATTGGGTAATATGGGTCCCCAGAAGCCAATGCCACAGACATTGTCGCCGCGAATGACACGATGGTGCATCAAGATGTCGGCGTACGATTACGAACTCGTACATCGCACGGGGAAGAAGCACCAGAACGCCGACGCACTAAGCAGCCTGCCGCTAGACACCACAATAGATGAACCACCCCCGCCGGGTGATATACTCATGTTCGAGGCGCTGCCGAACCCTCCGCTAACAGCTGATACGGTAGCAGCATCAACGCAGGAGTGCACTGTCTTGAAGGAAGTCTACGCAGCTATACAAGAAGGCAACGTGCAGAAGCTAAAGGGTGAACACTTCAAAGCTTACCGCAAGCGAGCTGCGGAGTTGAGCACTCATCGCGGTTGCATCACCTTGGGATCAAGAGTTGTAATTCCAGCGGCACTTCGCGAACAGGCCATGTCGCTTGTCCACGCAGGTCATCGAGGCATTGTTGCCATGAAAAAGTGCGCCAGAAGTTATATGTGGTGGCATGGTATCGACCAGGATATAGAATTAACAGTTCACGATTGCCAGCCTTGCCAATGCAACCACAGAAGCCCACCAAGAGCCCCTATTCCTGAATGGGAAAGACCAGACACGCCTTGGTACACCCTGCACATTGATTTTGCTAGACCTATCGAAGGGTGTTCGTTCCTGGTGGTTGTAGACCCATACACCAAGTGGCTGGAGGTAAAACAAATGGCTACAACTACATCGGCAGCAGTTATCGACACTCTGCGGTCGTTGTTTGCAACGTTTGGCCTACCGCGCAAGGTGGTCTTGGACAGCGGCACTCCGTTTGTGTCCACAGAGATTTTCAAGTTTTACAGAGACAACGGCGTCTCGTCTGTTACATCAGCTCCTTACCACCCGGCTACGAACGGACAAGCCGAGCGCTATGTGGCTGAGCTAAAGCGCGCCCTTACTAAAGACCAGACTGGGACAATGCAATGTCGTACCGCGTGCTTTCTCTTCAGAGAGCACAACACTGTTCAAAGCACTACTGATCAAACGCCAGCGAAATTGATGTTCGGACGAGAAATGAGAACCCAGCTGACAGCAATTGTCCCGGAGCCCTCAGCGAAAGCACCGTCGGAGGAAGAAAAGCTCCCGCATAGCAGGAGAAATGAAAGTGGACAGCGCATATACGCCCGCCAGTTCCACAGAAAGCCCGGCTGTGTTGAAGCAACGGCACTCAAACGCATAGGTTTGTGGTCATGGCTCGTCGACATTGGTGGAAAGGCCACACGCCGCCACCTTAATCAGCTACGCCGTTCAGGTAATTTGCCAAGGGAATTTCCCACTCAAGCAGCTACCTCGATGGAAGCTTCGTTCCACTTAACCTGGCATCTCGCACCAGATGAATCGGCGCCGCCGCCCGCCGGCCCTGAACACAAAAGAAACGACACCCAGCGAGCGGAGGCTTCTCTGTCTAGTGCGTCCAGAGCGTCCACGCGCCCACGGCGGCCCCCAGATCGCTTCCAAGCGACAAGCTAAGGAGGGAGGAGATGTTGTGTTCCAAGCACCCCTGTGTCACGAGCAAGCCCCGCGAAGGACCGGTTGCTGAAACTGCTTCCAGATGTTGACTCCTCCCCTTCCCCCGATCCGCGCAAGCGAGCCACCGTTCGTTTCCCCCTGCAGTTCGGCCGCCTCCTCCATCCGAATAGGAATAAATTTGTTTTAACTAGATGCCCGCCTATGTAGTTATGTAACAACATGACTACATGCCACGCCCATGATTTGCTCACGGCCGTTTCGCTAGCGTCACATATACCAAATTTGGTATTATGGTACGTGAATGGATGACAAAGGCTCGTGACTGGTGCAAACATGATAATCATGAGATGCGTGTCATGAAACAACATGACTACATTCCACGCTCATGATGCGCTGGTGGCAGTTTCGCTTGCTTCTCTTATACCAAATTTGGAATTACGGGACATGAATGGGTGAAAAAGATATGATACTGGTGCAAACATAATGAGATGCGTGTCATGTAACAACATGACATGCTATGTTCATGATGCACTCGCGGTCGTTTCACTAGCTTCGCATGTACCGAACTCGGTGTTACGCAACGCGAAAAGACGACATAGGTAAATGACACACCCAAATATGATAATCATTACAAGCGTGTCATGTAACTGACTACATTCCCCACTCATGATGCGCTCGCAGCCAGTTTACTAGCTTCATATGTGCCAAATTTGGTATTACGTGACGTCAATGAATGACGAAGGTATGTGACTGGTGCAAACATGATAATCATGACATGCGTATCATGTGAGAACATGACTAAATGACACAGTCAAGGCGCGAATACATTTCGACATGACACTGTGTGCGTGCTCGCCGGCGTTCATTTCCTCACGTCACGCCGGCATTGCCACGCCAGACGCTAGTCCTGCCATATACTCGCAGGCACACGCCGCGCTACGGTGCTTTGACGCATGCGTATTTCAGCGCGTCTGGCGTTCCTCCATCCCGAAAAGAGGGAGACGCAGTGTTGTCTGGGTAACGCATCGGCACGAAATGCAGCATGTGGCATTTTGCACCGGTTGCCGTCCAACCGCGCTGACGGACGCTGGTCGCGCCTGGCGTCAGACTACAGAGTGCTCACGTTTTGCTAATGTAGCGTCGCTGTGCCCAGCGTGCGTGCATGTCAATGCTACATAGGGGTATATTGGGCCCTTCATGATGCGCTCACGTCCGTTTTGGTAGCTTCACATATCCCATATTTGTGTTACGCAGTGTCAATGGATGACGAAATATATGACTGGTGTAAACATGATAATCCTCACACGCCTGTCATGTAAGAACACGAGATAGTTTCACGCTCATTGCGTGCTTGTGGCCGTTTCGCTAGCTCCACATATACTAAATTTGGTATCACGTGACGTGAATAGATGAAGAAGGTAAAGGACACATCCAAAAATGGTAATCGTGACACGGATGTCACGTACGGCATCATTTACCTCCACCTATTAACATTTGCTGATTCTAAAGTGGCATATATCAACCTTTCCCATTCGCGCTTCGCATGTGATCGATTCCCACTCTACGTGGAATCTGCCAATCTTTTTATCTGGTTGACGGCACATGCTTTGAGAATGGCGTTATGATGTTCATTTTTCATTTATCTTCGACCATCACTTTTGTTTCTTCTATTTTCGTTACACTGCATAGGTACGTGTGCGTGGTTTGAAGAACAAAATTTTTAAGTGAGCGCTCTGTATGTGTCCTTCTTCGCCAAGTTTCTCGTTTTTCGCGCTGTTTCCTTCCAATATTTCATCTTAACCTTGTCATTTGCGTTGTCATCTTCCTCTTAACCTTCATAACCTTCATCATCTTGATTTGGTGACAATCTTTGTCATCAACTTGTCACAATATTTGTCACGATAGATTCATCTATATTGTCTGTCACTTTTTGTGATGTCAACTGTCATAATATTTATGGTACTGATCTTGTCAGTCTTTGTCAGTCTGATCTTGTCGGTTCAGTAACAAATTGGGTGTCCTTGTTTCAGGCTGTGGAGAAGTACGTGAAAGAGGTGCAGCTTCTGGTGAAGCACGCGGATGGTGCACTGAGTGCCTGCCGAAATCAGCAGGGTTCGGCCAGATCTCCTCGAATTCCCCTCGAAATTGGCCCTACCATGGTGGAGGTGATTGCTCGAACAATCCAAAGTGGTAAGAATCATTCATGTTGATATCAATTTGCAACGTATCTTTATGGATTAACTTGCGCAGAAGTTTATTTCCATCACACGTCCCTTAGGCAGCTTAAAGCAAAAATAAAGAGTAGGCTTGTGCGAATAGGGAATTTTAAGTTCAAAGCTAATAGTGATTTTGATCGAATAATTTCGAATCGAATTCGAATGGTATGTATGACATATAAAAAAAAGAAGTACTTATCATGACCTAATTAACCTGAACAATATTTCTTTTGAATTGAAATAGGGGCTGTGTGCTAATGCCATTTTTTTTTTTTTCGTTAAGAGGAGGTCAAAACAACCTTCAGTAGTAGTTTTGGTAGGGTGCGAGTGATAACCTTAATAAGATAATGTCTCAAAATTTATTATACTTGGAGCTTATAAGCTGTCATAAAAAGCTTAATAAAAGGAATAATTTATTTGAGGGTACCATGTTCTCTTACAGAGGGGCCCTGCAACACTTTTTCAAGTAGCCATGGAGCCAGTAAACATGCTTGTTGCCTCACAAACTTACCACCCCAAAGTTTCTAGAATCAGTTCAGTTCAGTATGAGCGGAGTTCCAAAAATTTGCTGCATGCTGCAATTGCATTATCTCTTCTTGTCCTGACGAAATTGCTGGAAGTAAAGCAGGGAGGAATGACATGGCAAAAGAAAATATGTCACATGCACATTGTGACCTTGAGCACCTTTTTTTTTTTTTTGAATACACGGATTTTCAATGCGATCGCGCACGTACTCGTGCACAAGCGGAGGCCTCCCATGAGGGCTCCAGTAACGACGAGCGCGCCATGCTCAAATCAGTCAGTGACTGTGACCGGAACTGTATACTATTCCTTCTTGGCTGTGACAAGTGATTTTGGAGCTTGTAGTGTCATTAGTTGAGGAAAGAAAGCAATTTTTAGCTTTGAAAATTTATTGTGAATTACAGGCCACGGTGCTGCACTGTAATATTTGCCTCCCGTGTTCTCGGTAGCCTCGACTACTGATCGGCACCGTTTTCTGACCATGTTCACTAAGTGTTGCAGGGCCCCGTTAAGTTTGAAGGGGGCTTTGCGGCAAAGTGAATTTTCTTTTGATAAGTGCTTTCACCGCTCAGCACTTCTACAGTGCAGTGAAACCACTTTTACAGGCATTGCAGTGAAATCATTTTTACAGGCAATGACATGCGAACTAATATACACCTATTCTTTCGTTGCGAATACTTCAAAAATATTCGATAATTTAAATTTGAATACCCAACTACCGTATTTACTCGATTCTACCGCGCCCTCGATTGTAACGCGCACCCGATTTCCACCGCAAAAAAAAAAAAACGTAAGACATCGATTGCAACGCGCACCCATTTTTTCTCGCTGGCCCGCATGATCACACCACTCGAAAAAACGACTCCTTTCGGGAGCGTCTTCCATTTAAATATGAGGTACGGGCGAAGCTTGTGCCCATCTGACGTGTAACAGAGCATTGCCGTCACTGTAGTTTTACCGTGGACCGATGTCAGCACGCGAACTTGCTTCGCCCCCTTCTTCTCGACGGTTGTGGTGCCAGGCATGTCGAAGTAAAGAGGCGTCTGATCGGCATTCCCGATTTGCCCAAGCAGGTAGTCGTTGTTGCGCCGCAAGTTTAGGACGAACCTCTGAAAACTGTGAAGCTTTTCATCGTACTCCTCCGCAAAACTTTTCGCATATGCATGTTCCCCTTCGGAGGGAAAAGCCTTTCCTCTTCATAAAGTTAGTTAGCCAGCACCTGCTCGCTTTAAACTGGCTCCGCATTAGACCTTTTTCTAAGACTGATTGCGTAGCCCGCACGTGGAGCAGTTCTGCCATCACGGGCCGCTGTGCTGCTCGCTGCTAAAGCACATACTCGCCGAGCAGCTCTTTAATTTGCGGAAACCGACCCTAATGTGGTCCACTGAAGCCTTTACGTAAAGCTTTGCTGTCGAAAATCTTCTGCTTTTGTTTCCGCCGGTCCCGCACGCACGTTTCGGGAACTCTGAGCGACCGCGATGTGGCCAGATTTCCGTCCGTTTCTGCACACGCGATGACTTTTCTTTTAAAAGTGGCATCGTGGTGCACTCGAGTTTTTGGAGTCGGCCATTCCACGCCGTCGATGCTAATGCACTACTAGATGACGAACTCCTCAGCACACCTACAAAGTGTCGCACATGAGAAACACATAGGCAGAAATGGACGACGCGCCATGCCGACGCACGTAGGGGGCGGCCATTTTAGATTTGCCGATGGCAATAGATTGGCCGTAATTTTTTTGTTCGTGCTCGATTCTAACGCGCATGCGATTTATGAACTCGCCTAACCGGAAAAAAGGTGCGCGTTAGATTCGAGTAATTACGGTATTCGTTCGAATATTCGAAGCATTCGAATATTCGCACAAGCCTACTAATAAGAAAAAAGAGTTTGTTCTATTAGATAGGTACTACTCCACAATTTCAGAAACGTCACTCTTGCTGTGACAAGGCAGGTTTTTTTTATTTGTTAAAACTGTTAACTTGCTAAAGGGACTCTTGAACGATTTTGGAATGTTGTAAGCTCGATGATGGTGAGGCACAAGCTTGCCAACATCAAATCATTTGCACTATAAATTGATGCACTTTGTACGAATACAGCTCCTGGCAATTATGAGTGACCATTCTCATAAAATTCTGTGGAAAGTTGTGTTCTTTTTTTTGTTTCTTTTCTATCAAGAAAGGCAGCCTACAATTTAGTCAGTATTGTTAAATTACTGTCAGCATAATAAGTCTGCAAGTGGTGTCTGTTTTGTTTCATGATTAGTATAAGTTATGGCAAGCACATATCCATAGTGTGTTGTAACCAAGTTCATGCATACTTGGCCATCTTGCTTACACATTACACTGCAGTAGTTCGTACCTGCATGACTCAACACTCTTGCAGGCCAAAGGTTGCTGGACAGCCTTCAGGTGGACGTTGAATTTGGCTTCAAATCTCACTGTGGCCGTAGAGTGGCCAAAGAAAGGGCCAATGCATATCACAAGGTAAATAAACAACAAGCTTATCTCGTTCCTTCTCAGTCTGTTGCTTAGCAGAGCAGAAACCTTCTTGTAGAGTGGCATTTCAAACTCGTCCATTTGCATCTGTTCCTAAACTGTAAAAGCATGTCTGCCAATTCTGTGCTGGCAATTTTCGACCAGGTGGAGGTTCTTTCAAAGCATTGAGGTGCTGCGTTAGTCAAGCATCTAGTCGAAAATGCATTTGAAACTATTGCGCAAGTAGATACACATTAGCAACTTCTTTCTGCCTGCTATGGCCATAATGAACACTCTAACAATATGCTGTCTGTGGCTGTACAAAGGGGGACCTCATATCGTGAAATCTCAAGAAATATAATGCGGTAAAATTTCCAGGATGGCCCCTGTCTCAGTCCAGGATCGAAATTCAAAATGGCAGCGGGAGAGCCCCACATGCTTCCAATAAAATGCTTTATTGAATCCCCATGCATTCATTGTCACTAGCCTTCGTCAGGCGATTGAAAACAGTGAATGATAGAGTGAAAATGGCAGGAAAGCCAGAAGGGGGCGCTTGCTCAATCATTGGAGAATAGTTTAAATCTCCAGAAAAAAAGGGTGGGGGGCTTGCTTAGAATTTCATGGGAGTAATCTTTGTCAGGCCATCTTCTTTTTGTGGTTAGAACAGCTGTAAATAGCTTAGCACTAGACTTAGTGTCATTTATACCATCTACAAAAGCTGGTAGCTTTTTAATGAAACTGGGATCGTAGAACCCTTTTAATCCTACATGTGCAGCAGGTTCTCTACCGTTTCACCAATGATGCACTTGTGCAGGGGTAAAATAGCACAGCTACGGGCTCCAATGAGTAGTGGTAAGATTGACTGGTGTGATGCCCCCATCGTGTAATTCAAAATGAAATCGGGGCCTTAAAGAAGTAAATATTGTGCATGAGTACTGTGGCATTGATCCAATTCACGCTAAAGGCATTTTTCAAATCAAGTTTTTGGTGTTTCAGTGAACTCGACGAGGTAATAATGATGATTGTGTGCATTGTCATCTCATAACACTTCTTGATATACATAATGCAGTAAAGCCTCGGAGATACGAGCCTTACGGGGTCACCAAAAATATTCATATAATTTGAAATTCATATCGCCAGAAAACATGAAAGAAATAATATCTGACAAAAGAAAGCCATCTTACATTCTTGTTGTTTTTCAGGGTAACAGCAACGTCATGAACAGCTTTGAATGATTGCTAGTAAAGTTTATGCGTGTCAAGGATTATTCATACTTGTAGACATACGGCCTGTGACAGCCGATTGCCTATTTCAAATTTCAATATGCTTTTTCACAAACATCAGAGTACTGCAGCAAAAGTGACCTGAGAGCGCTTTGCATGTGATCGATGAAAGCCGAGAAATTCTAGAATCGCTGACCTGCAATTTTTTTATCGCTGGGGCGTGAGAATGTTTTTGGGGAGATTTACGACCTTGCGCTGACAATTGGAAGGTTTACTACTCAAATTGAAAAGTTTATAGGTGTGCGCTCTCCCGCCGAATGGGCGTGTTGACATTGCAAGGCCCAGCTTTTTTGCCAAGATCATCCACTTCCTTTTTTTGGTTCTCATCTGCTTTTCATAATTGCAAGAACCTTGATAGTATCAACGTGGCAGGCACGTGTAAACACAGTCCAGCGACAATGGCTCGAGCACAGGAGCTTGCGTCGATGCATTAAGAGAAATAACGTGGCTGATCCCTCTACATCGGATACGAAAATGAAATCTGTCTTTACAGAGGTAATTGAGCATTGTTTCAGCAACAGAAACAAATTGCAAAGTCAGTTTAAGAACGGCAAGCAGCTTGAAACTTGCAGCGCACACCTCAAGCAGAAAGCACGCACGAAATTAGCATATACAAGACTAGCATGGACTAGTAGCTGTTACAACTTGACACGTAAAGCTCGCTGTTCAAACGGAAAGAAAGACTCGCGAAACGAGCGAAGAAGTACATACACAGGACAAGTGGGAACAACTGCCTCAATTCTCCCTGCGCAGTGTGTCAGCTGCGCGTTTTTCGTAAACACGGCCGTGCCAGCATCTGAAGTGACCTTCATTGCGAGTTTAATAAGTGCACGCGCAGGAGAGACCACGCTCCGTGGAGGCAGCACTTCGTAAAGGCGTCAACCCTTACGGCATGCCCAACGCGAGCCTGTTGCACCATCTCGTCAGTGATAACAAAAACGCACTAAAGTTTTGAAGCTCTGAGAACTGCCAAACGGTGTATGGTGTATATAAATGGCTTGCCGTTAGCATTCCAGGCAATGTACGCTTTGTGGCATAGTGGTTAGCGCTGCCCTCTGAGAATCGAGAGGTTGTTGGTTCGATTCCGCGCGACAAATGCTTGCCTTCTGGTTTTTTTCTTTGCAATCTCTTATTAGTATATATTTCTCCACGTCACTATCGTGGCGGAAGTACGTCAGCGAAGCCCTGGTCGACCCCGGCATAAAACTCTTTCGTGTTAAAAAAATTGCCCTATACCAATGTCATGAGCAGTTTATACATAAAGTCATATGAAGGCTCATTAAGGCCTCCAAGATTCATGCACACAATCTCGAAGACTACAGCGCTGCTATGCCCACACTCAGATTCCCACGCCCCTGTGTGGTTACCGCATATTTCGCCACAGCGCTGTGGTTACCGCGTGTTTTGCCACAGTGCAAGCAGCACCTGTTTAATTCCGTACGTTGTTATTAAGCATTACAGAACGAAAAATCGATTTGAAGCAATTGCACTTAACTACATGGCAGGCTAATGGACTAAGGCCAGGGCGAATAAAATATTCTTATCACCCAGATATTTGTACACGCCGTAATCGTATCGCAGATGTTCTACTGTATATAGCTTCACGAATAGGGCTTCACGAATAGGCCATGGTGAAAAGCACGCTGAAACAATGTCTAAAACCGCTTTCGCGAACCAACCAAACAGTTGCATTTACACGTTTACACCAGCAGCTGTCCGCCGTGAAAAGTATCCGACAACGGCGAGATAGATGGATGGTATCATGGAGCGGCGACTTTTGCATTATTCTATGCCATTCTTATCATCCATCACTCCCGGCTAGCTGATGTTGTTGATAATGCAGACGAACAGCCACTCTGATTAGTTACCACACTGGCCAAGCGTGAACAAAATAATAAGCATCGGAATCTGAAAAGGCATCGTTCCGCGATTGCATCCAGCAGCTGCATGAACTGAGCTTCAGCTACGGATCGTGTACGGCTCAAAAATAAGGCAGGGCAGTCTCAGTGCAATCGCTAGCTAGCAATGGCAACGCCCATGCTTGCTGAACAGCTGTGGTTTCTGGTGGTGCCAACGTGTGTTTTAGACTTCGTTGACGCATTTTCAAGCTCTGAAAATGCATCGAAATGTTAAAAATTGGGTTTACTGCTTAGCAATAACTATCTCAGCCTGGAATTGCATCGTAAAATTTCGTTGAAGTGGGATGATCAAGGAAAGAGTGTTCGTTGTGGCGACAATATTTATGCATTTACTCCTATGGGCTGCTGACGGGGAATCGTGAATTTTTCGTTGTAGTAGAAATTCTGTTGAAGCAAAGTTCGACTGTATATTATTTGCATTCATGATGATAATTAGCCTCATTAAATTGTCATCTTAATGTAATGTTCTTCTGTTGGTTTCTCACTGTGCAGGTAAAAACTGCCCTGGACACAGTACGGGAGCTGCAGCAGTCTTTCCAGGAAGAGTGGGCTAAGGAGCTGGAGGCATTGGAGAGTACCCGGCTCCTGGAAGGGTTCTTTGCAGAAGTAGACACAGTTGAGTACTATTACAAATCTGTTCGAACTATGCTCCCAAATTTTCATAAGTGGCAATATTGGGCTGCCATATGTCTCGTGAGTTCCAGTGGCCAAACACTAAACTACAGTGTGTGTGGATTTCTGTATTTCCTAGCTCTAGGCCAATGTTAAGAACCTCTGTCATTTGATTACAGTCGCCGACCGATTTTCCGGACTCCAAAAATTCGGACTTTTTGGATATTCCGGACTTCATAAATGCACCGTCAGCGATTCCGTAGAGCTAATGCATTGTTTCGACCGATTTTTCGGGCGAATTTGCCCCTGAAAGTTCGATTTTTCGGACTAAATCGCTCGTTTTGTGCCACGCTCCAAGCCATTGTGAACGCCGCCATGTTGGATTTTCTGTCGGCTTGGCTAAGCTTGGTCTTCAGATGCCTTTCCTGCCTCCGAGATTGGAATGCGCATGCCATGTTTTAAGTTTCGGAGGCCGTGTTTGCTTTTTAAAAGACGCGGTGATGGACGCCGTTTTTTCGTCTTCGGTCAGCACTATTGTCATCACATCGCACGGGGAGGAGGCGAAAGAAGGATTCTTTTATTGTCGTTGCAGCTTTTTTCAGTCGCCATTCTGCACGTGTTGTGTCGCGTAGCGTCGAGACGTTGTGTGCTTCGCAGCGGCTATCTGCGGCATCGAATTTTGTGTTCTCGGTGCCATGGCTCCGCTATCTGTGCCATCGCGGGAGCCAGGTGGTGTGAAGAAGCGTGGGAAGTATACGACCCTGACGATGGAGAAGAAAGCTGCCATAATCAAGCTAATAGAGAGTGGACGTTCGCAGCTAGATATCGCTGGATGACGGTCGACGTCGGATGGCGGTCGTCGTTGTCGTCGGATGACAACGACGACCGCCCGCAGCCGTCGGAGATTGCCAACGCGGTGACAATTTTGTCGAGCGTTTACGGCGACGATGTCACCTTGGCGCAAATACGGGCAAACCAAATTGCCTCCAAGCGTAGTTTGAGGCAAGGCAGCATCAAGGACTTTTTTAAACCTGCCTGATGCATTAAATTTCAGATTTTTGGCGAAAACGAATTTTTCGGACTGTTCGATTTTTCGTACTTTTTTTCGGTCCCCGCCAGGTCCGAAAAATCGGTCGGCGACTGTATTATGATACATCTTGGCATGTCGCGAAACTAAAGCAAAAACTAATTTCAACCGAAGTTACAAGTCTCAGTTCTAGTCAGAACTGCGGTTTTATGGTGCAAACTGTGGGGATCACGGTTTGTGACAACTGTGTATAGAAATGTTACCGTAATTACTCGAATCTAACGCGCACCTTTTTTCCGGTTTAGCGAGTTCATAAATCGCATGCGCGTTAGAATCGAGCACGAACAAAAAAATTACGGCCAATCTATTGCCATCGGCAAATCTAAAATGGCCGCCCCCTACGTGCGTCGGCATGGCGCGTCGTCCATTTCTGCCTATGTGTTTCTCATGTGCGACACTTTGTACGTGTGCTGAGGAGTTCGTCATCTAGTAGTGCATTAGCATCGACGGCGTGGAATGGCCGACTCCAAAAACTCGAGTGCACCACGATGCCGCTTTTAAAAGAAAAGTCATCGCGTGTGCAGAAACAGACGGAAATCTGGCCACATCGCGGTCGTTCAGAGTTCCCGAAACGTGCGTGCGGGACCGGCGGAAACAAAAGCAGAAGATTTTCGACAGCAAAGCTTTACGTAAAGGCTTCAGTGGACCACATTAGGGTCGGTTTCCGCAAATTAAAGAGCTGCTCGGCGAGTATGTGCTTTAGCAGCGAGCAGCACAGCGGCCCGTGACGGCAGAACTGCTCCACGTGCGGGCTACGCAATCAGTCTTAGAAAAAGGTCTAATGCGGAGCCAGTTTAAAGCGAGCAGGTGCTGGCTAACTAACTTTATGAAGAGGAAAGGCTTTTCCCTCCGAAGGGCAACATGCATATGCGAAAAGTTTTGCGGAGGAGTACGATGAAAAGCTTCACAGTTTTCAGAGGTTCGTCCTAAACTTGCGGCGCAACAACGGCTACCTGCTTGGGCAAATCGGGAATGCCGATCAGACGCCTCTTTATTTCAACATGCCTGGCACCACAACCGTCGAGAAGAAGGGGGTGAAGCAAGTTCGAGTGCTGACATCAGTCCACGGTAAAACTACAGTGACGGCAATGCTCTGTTACACGTCAGATGGGCACAAGCTTCGCCCGTACCTCATATTTATATGGAAGATGCTCCCGAAAGGAGTCGTTTTTTCGAGTGGTGTGATCATGCGGGCCAGCGAGAAAAATGGGTGCGCGTTGCAATCGATGTCTTACGTTTTTTTTTTTTTTTTCGCGGTGGAAATCGGGTGCGCATTACAATCGAGGGCGCGGTAGAATCGAGTAAGTACGGTATGTCTAGCCTTTTCGGCCCTAGCGGTGTCAATTGACACCACCGCACGAGATTTCCCCTAGTATCTCGAAAACGTAACCAAAACTACTCATTCTTGAGGGCATAGTTCTTCCATGATCCCCACTGCAATTGACACCAATATTGCGGCACGATTGTGGAGGTAGCAGCCTCGAAGAACAAGAAACGCGACCGACGTCTTCCGTGAAGACGAGGCGTGCAAGTTGAGGTGGGTAAGCGCCATTTTCGGAACGATGTATCGAAGCTGTTTCAGTGGGTATTAGGCTGAAAAGTTTGACGTTGGTTTCCATTTTGTGTAGACCATTGATTGACTGGAAAAAAGAAGCCATTTTTTTTCATTTTCCAATCACTTGGCCCTAATCACCTAATTTGATGCCACATTAATTAATCCAAAAGTGCTTGTACCAGTGGGTCAATTTTTCGTTTGTGGTCTTCAGACGTCCTAACTACGAGAAAAACGCGCACAAAAAGTCTATCCGACCAAAATAAATAAAGTTAATTTTAGGTTCGAAGCGAATTCAAAGCGAATAGCGATATGAATTGAAACAAGCCCTGTGCTAATGTTATTCTTTTTCGTTCAATGAAAGTGGAAATAACTCTGAATTGTAGCAGAATTTGACTTTTGGTAGAATGCCTGTGATAATCTGTGAAATAACTGGAGTTTTAAAATTTGCTGTGCTTAGAGCAGCATATAAGCTTGTACAACAAGCTCTGAAACTTACAAGCTCGTGAATCAATGGGAGGGTAATATGTTCATTTAAACGTTCAGGTGGGGCTTTGCGGCAGTGCGGATTTTCCTTGGATAGATATCTTCACAGTGTAGCACACCTCCACTGGAGCGAAACCATTTTTACAGGAGGCTACATGCAAACTAAAATGCACCTAATTGTTCACTTCGAATAGTTTAGAATTTCTCTATAATTCGAGCTTGAATCAAAATGGATTCTAATGCTGCAATACTCATTAGGATATTTGAAAGGCTCAAATATTTACACAGGGCTACTTTATCTACTTATTTATTTACGTACTTACAGCAATACCGTAGTGACATTTCTTTGGGGGGGGGGTGCACATACAACGTCTATACAAGCTGGCCGTAGTTTGTCTGGTGCCGCAATAAAATATCGTCATTGTGCTGGCACATGCTCTTTTTGTCATCTTCATCCCCACTAATGGCCCATCGTCATGCAGACAGGCACCGTCTGTCGTTGTTGGTTGTCTTCGTCTCCCCTAACATAGGCTCCGGACGAGCACTCTCCCCCTGCCCTGATTACGACTGTATGGGATGCAATAACTCGGATGGTCGAGAGAACCCGTACAGAGAGAGAGAAATGACTACAACAAACGGACAAAAAAGAGGAGATAGATAGAAAAGGGCAGAAATAGACAGGAAGGAGCAAAAGAGATAGAAAGACAGAAAGTGAGAAGGATAAAAGGAGGAGATTGGGAGCATTGCATAATATCACATAACACTGGTCGTGCAACATGTCCCTGCCAAAATTGCGTAGCGCCAGTCATGTGACACGTTCCCACCAAACGCACATTGTTTGAGCGAGGAAGGCACAAGGGGCTGGGAAGGCAGCTTCTTCCTCGGCAGTCCGAGCCCTCTCTCCACTTTCGCTTCCAGCCTTGCGTCATTAGTGGTTGCTAGCCTCACTGCTGCCTCAGTCTTTACATTACTTGTGTGGAGCTGCGGCAATTTTTTTGTATTTTACTGCCCAAATATTTGAACCAGCAACTTCAGCATATATATATATATATATATATATATATATATATATATATATATATATATATATATATATATATATATATATATGAAATTCACATATAAACGCAAAAAAGTGGATGGAGGGAAGGCCGCTGTGGTAGCTCAGTGGTTAGAGCATCGAACGCGTTATTCGAAGGTCGTAGGTTCGATTCCTGCTCACGGCTGGGTATTTTTTCATCCACTTTTCTTTCTTCTTCCTTCTTATTTACATTCCATTGGTTCTAATAACTTCCCCTGTACATTCCTTGGCATTATTGTCTGTTAGATTTCATTAATATTGTGTTAAACCACGGAAAAAGGAGCCCTTAGGTATACGCTTCTTTCCCTTATTTCATTGAACGAGGGTCTCGTACTGGCAAACTTGGTGTCATTAGGTTGTATACAAGGGACTATTGATCAGCAGCCCACTCCTAATAAGTTCACATACTACGTGACGCCGCATATGCGCATAAAAGAGTGTTTCACACTCGTCGCTTGGCTGATAGATGGCGCTGACTGACACTTCTACTTCTAAATTCACATATAAAATGCAAAAAAGTGGATGAAGGGAAGGCCGCTGTGATAGCTCAGTGGTTAGAGCATCTGAACGCGTTATTCGAAGGTCGTAGGTTCGATTCCTGCTCTTGGCTGGTTATTCTTTCACCCACTTTTTTTTTTCTTATTATTTACATTCCATTGGTTCTAACAACTTCCCCTATACATTCCTTGGCATTACTGTCTGTTAGATCTCATATATATATATATATATATATATATATATATATATATATATATATATATATGAAGTGTAGTGAAGAGGAATGCCCACTACTGCAG